GTATTTTATGCTTAAGAAAACTAAGGAAATTGTTCACGTGTTGCTATATTCAAACAACATAAATATTCGTTTGCAATTTAATTATATTGTATGTATTAACTGATACCAATTTCAATCCCAAAATGCAATTGTCAGTTAAATTGTTCTATATTCTTAATATGGAAACATATTTAAAAAATTTCATTATATATTTTTATTCATTGTGAAAAATTGCATTAAATAATAATTCATCGTTTTTGTTATAATATTTTTACTCTTACTTGTACAATTTTTCAATTTTTCCATTATACGTTTGTATTGGTATAAATACATGTTTGTCGTTTGGGTATTTTATACATATGTATATGTATGTGTATCTGTGCATGTCTGTATACCATAGTACATGACGAGTTTATTCTGAGAAAAATTCTATAAAAATATATTGTATATGCATCACTCTATCTCTTTTAGTTTTTTCCAATTTTTTTCTATAAATATAGCTAAAGGCATGACCCCCACACAGACGCGCACAATCGTAGATCCTAACACGAATACAGACACATTTTAAAATCTTTTCATTGCATTTCAGAGTGCTTTTGGTTATTCGACTCGAACATGATACACAGACACAACATTTTTATAAAAGATTCCCTAAGGCATTTTAACTATTTATATTGTTACTGTTGCAGTTGTTATACTATATAGTAGAATCATGTTATTATATTGGGGAAATGTATTAAAGAAGTAAAACAATTATTTGTTAATATGAATGAACCAATTGCCTTTTTTCTACCTTCAATTAGGAACTAACAATTCTATTCTGTTTTCAATTGGGAAACATTTTCAATGTGTTAGAAATGGAACTATTTTATCAGATCAATCCATTTGGCCTATTTTCGGTTCTATATCTATATAAAAAACGATTTTTATGCGTTTTTATCAATCAACTCTTTTAAGTCCTTTCCAACTATTTGCTTGCCATTTTTGTCTCCCAATCATTGTCTGCATTACTGACGTTAGATGGTTGTTGTCTACGCTTCTCTTTTTGTTCATACATAGTACGTGTGCATGTGTGTTTAATAGGGTGGGCCCAAAATGGAAGCAGCTGATGTTTCCATCGATAACACAGATCTAGTTTCTCCTAGTTCAAAGGATAAAAGGGTCCCTTTTTCCTACTTTTTTACATTTTGAACATAAATGTATTATCTTTCCAAGGAAAGGGACCACCCTAGTGTTTAAATATGCCAGTATGTATTTGTGGCTGCTTAAGTGTTGTGGTAAGTGTTTGGGTGTATAAGTGTAACGTCATATTGTAATAAATATTAATAATGTCAATAATGAAGATTTATGACTTATTTCAACTTTATTTTTAACAAAATTTTATATTATATTTGGAAAATATGTAGCTTATCTATTATAGAAAGTGCAACAGTGCACTTCAGAACAATACTAGAAGAATGAATGACTATTTGTGTGATATAAAGTACTTATACTCATTAGACCTACTCTGTAAAAAGATATTTACTTGATATGGGATTTCATTTGTTATTCATACTGATTACAAAATATTGTGGGAAATGTGTATATATAGTAGAAAGAGGAGCATATTTGTTATCAGTCAGATAAAAACATTTTTAAACTAAAATGCGACACATTCTATCCATGTCTAATGCACATACTTAAATGCGTACATAACAAAATGTATCTACAAAATGAAATCAATTACTGGGAAATAGGCGAGAAATGGAAGTAGGAAAGAAAGGAAAAAAAGAGAAAAGAAGACGAAAAGGCGAAAGAAATGGAGCAAAGAAAGGCAAGGGGGGCGGGAGAAAAGAAGGCGGGGAAAAAAAAGAGGGCCAAAAAAAAAAAAAAAAGACGGGCGAGGGGGGGAAGGAGAACAAGGCGGGCAGAAGAGGAAGAGGAGGGAGGGATGGGAGGAAAGCGGCAGGCGGAAGGCAGGAGGGAGGCGCCAAAGGAGAAGGGGCCAAAGAAGACGAACGAACGAACGAACGAACGAACGAACGAACAACGAACGAACGAACGAACGAACGAACGAACGAAAGAACGAACGAACGAACGAACGACGAACGAACGAACGAAACGAAAGAACGAACGAAAGAACGAACGAACGAACGAAGAAAAACGAACGAACGAAAGAACGAACGAACGAAAACGAAACGAACGAACGAAAGAAACGAAAGAAACGAACGAACGAACGAACGAACGAACGAACGAACGAACGAACGAACGAACGAACGAACGAAACGAACGAAACGAACGAACGAACGAAGAAGAACGAACGAAACGAACGAACGAACGAACGAACGAAAACGAACGAAACGAACGAACGAAGAACGAACGAACGAACGAACGAACGAACGAACGAACGAACGAACGAACGAACGAACGAACGAAACGAACGAAAGAACGAACGAACGAACGAACGAACGAACGAACGAACGAACGAACGAACGAACGAACGAAGAACGAACGAACGAACGAACGAACGAACGAACGACGAACGAACGAACGAACGAACGAACGAACGAACGAACGAACGAACGAACGAAAGAACGAAACGAAACGAACGAACGAACGAACGAACGAACGAACGAACGAAGAACGAACGAACTAACGAACGAACGAAAACGAACGAACGAACGAAAACGAAACTAAAACGAACGAACTAACTAACTAACGAACTAACTAACTAAACTAACTAACTAACTAACTAACTAACTAACTAACTAACTAACTAACTAACTAACTAACTAACTAAACTAACTAACTAACTAACTAACTAACTAACTACTAACTAACTAACTAACTAACTAACTAACTAACTAACTAAACGCAATACAGATCGTTACAGCACCATCACTGATGTGCTGAGCAAGATGTTATTTCAACAGGGGCATCTACTACGGCAGCCCTTTTAAATTGGCCTCCAAGATCGTACAGTACGATAAATTTCGATTGCTTTCTGAGAAGCCAGATAAAGCCACAGCAGCAATTGGTGCCTTCGAGGTATTCATTGTTAGTATTACACGTGCTATATAAAAAACAATGCTCGCAGAAAGTGGACTAAAATTAAACGTCAAATATACGGCTTGTCAAAAACTGCATGGTGTCCATCACTGTTGCCAACTTTTTTCCCAAAAATATCGCTAAAGTCGACTGAAAAATAGCTAGAAAATAGCTAAATTCAAGACATTTTGAAAAATTTAGCGATAAATCGTCAAAATAATATTTATTATATGATTCTGAAAAGAAATAGCTAAAAAAAACTAGCTAAACTTTTCAGATTTTTTATATTATTCTAAAAAGTCAGCGATTTATCGCTAAAATCTATATACATACGTAGGAATGGGATAGTGATACAAACACATCTTATAACAAACACATATATATAAGAGAATCTTTTTTTATGTTAAATATTTTCACTTTGGGTTAGGAAAAATGTCAAGTTGAGGTTAATTTCGATATGCGACCCTATACAGATTGCTTTAGAAATGTTGTAAAGATAAATTGAATTTCGAAATGCTGGCCTTTATGGATCGATCCTTTATTTTCGGCATAAGAGTATTATTTATTTTTCCATTACAATACAATTACAAATTATATTCTAACCTAATTTACCGAGCAGGGTGACGATAACCATACGACCGTTGTAGTGTAGCAGACCAGGATCTCTGCTGGGAATCGAACCCACAACCCTCAGACTGACAGGCTAGCACACTACCAACTAGCCTACCGGGGCACCCAAGATTATTATAAACTCCTTTTGTGGGAAGTTTATCTGCAATATCGATATGCGGCCCTATACGCCTTAGAAATGTTGTAAATTTTTAGGAGTTTATGGAACGATCCTTTCGTCACTTATTTCCAATGTTCACTAATTTTTAGAATTATGGTAAATTTTATTATCATATCACTCATTTACTAAAAGACTAGAATAATTAAATATTCGTTTTTTAATTGAGTACAACAAAATATACCCCTTTTAAAGTTTTTCGTATAACTTTACCTTTACGCACAAATATTTGCTCCTAATTATGTTCTTCAGAACATTCAAAATAAGTATAATACACACAGCTAAAACTCAAATAATTTACATTGAATGCATATTTTTATATACATACATATATGTAAATCGTCATTCCTAGCAACTTTTAAGCGATATTATCAAAATATAAATGAATAAAAAATGCCTTAAAATCTAAAGAAAAATCGCTAGATTTCCCGCTAATAGCTAAATCATATTTTTCCCCGCAAAATGGGATTAAAAATCGCTAGATTTGACGAGAAAATAGCTAAATTGGCAACAGTGGTGTCCATATATCTGAAATCATTTAGAATTGTTACTGCTTTTCGAATAAACAATTTTGTTTAACAAAATTAAAAAAATCTAACCTCAAACTTCGTCTGTATGTACATTTGTTTGTTTGTATGTTTCTTAAAATCAATTTTCTGAAGACCTCAGATATGTTCGGGATCCAAATCTTAAATGAATCTGTCAGTCATGTTTCGGGAAGTTTTTTATTTAGAATTTAACAAATAATAGAGATATGAGCAAAAGTGTTTCGTAAAAAATATATTATTTGCATGCAGATGCAAGAAAACCACAACTACATGCAGCTTCGTATTGCACATACAACACATAATGCATGAAGCTGTATATAGTTGTATTCTTATTGACAAAATCAGGGATGACATATTTTGTCTCGGAAATTGTGCAGGGATGGGGGAAAAATATCAAATAAAATTCCTAATAATAAAATTTTTTTTTTTTAATTTTTCTGAAGTACCGAATATAGAACTATTACTTGATATCAGTCTTAAAAATCACATCACCTTAATTTTTAACTTTAGCTTCCCTTTTTGCAACTAAAAAATTTATCTATTTATATTAAAATTTCATATTAATTTACACACACAAAAAGTGCAAAAGATACAAAATGGCGAAATAAATATAATAGAGAACAAAAAACACAAAATATAATTTAAATGCAATTACTTACCTCAGGCGACACAAAATAACTGGGACTTTTTTCTATTGTTATTTGTCCACGAAATGAATGTGGCATTTTTTTTGCGATACCATTCCAGTCCTTTCATATAGTTTTCATCGCGATCAAAAAAATGTACTTCACCACCAGCCTTCTGTATGCGAGGATGCAGATACAACATTTCCAAAAGGGCACGTGTACCACATTTTCGTATGCCAATTATAAGAGCCTGATGGTTAACAACGAACGACGGTCAAACAAGTAGTGGAAGGAGAGATAGAGAGAAAGAGAATAAAATAATAAATAAATAAAAGTTATTTGAGTAAAAGAATTTTTTTTGTTATAATTTTGGCAAAAAGTTGGTTTGGATGGATGCATGATGGTTGGTTGGTTGGTCGGTTAGCCGTTTTAAATTGGTCGAAAACATGAAATGGAAATGTTTTATTTTTTTTCTTGTGCAGAGTAAAGTTGGTGAGAAATATCTTTATTAGTGCTAAAAATTATGATTTTGAAACAGTGTTGTGTTTGGCTTATTTTAATGCTAATTGACCCTTATGAATGGCTTTACTTTGAAACAGTTTTTTCTTTCTGTTTGCTTAACGTTTCTTTGGCTAATGGCTTTAGGAAATTAAAATAAACAAATTACTACAATTAGGTTTATGAATTGAGACAATTGTCGTTTTGCTATAGATTTGTCGCAGCAAAATGTCGCAGACGTTTTTCGCCGTTTTATTGCTTTAGTACACATAGAGAGTTCATTAAGCAGGAGCAAAAGCAATAAACATTATATATTTTTTTTTACTTTATCCATTAGGTTGACATTAATGTTTGAAAATAATTCTTTTAAATGGTTTTGTTTATTGCGTAATATTTGGTAGTAAATTTAATTATTTTTTAACATTTATAATTAGGCAATGATTTTTCGACAATATATGTTTCAAATGTTAATTGTTAAGTATTTAACAAATTCTGTAACAAGAGCAAAGATTGGTCTAAAATTGCTTTTTGTAGGTGTAAGATGTATTTTGACTACTAATAAGATTTTTAAGTCGACATGTTTTTAATAGCCATGTCCATCCGTCTCTCTATTGCAAAGAGGATAGAGTAGAAACGGCACTAGGTAAAGAACTGAGTTTTGGCCAAATATTTTTACATGGAAATAGGCAATATAGGTCAACAATTTAGACTATAGATTTGACTATATACTAGACTATAGATTAGACTATAGACTATACTATAGACTAGACTATAGACTAGACTATAGACTAGACTATAGACTAGACTATACTAGACTATAGACTAGACTATAGACTAGACTATAGACTAGACTATAGACTAGACTATAGACTAGACTATAGACTAGACTATAGACTAGACTATAGACTAGACTATAGACTAGACTATAGACTAGACTATAGACTAGACTATAGACTAGACTATAGACTAGACTATAGACTAGACTATAGACTAGACTATAGACTAGACTATAGACTAGACTATAGACTAGACTATAGACTAGACTATAGACTAGACTATAGACTAGACTATAGACTAGACTATAGACTAGACTATAGACTAGACTATAGACTAGACTATACTAGACTAGACTATAGACTAGACTATAGACTAGACTATAGACTAGACTATAGACTAGACTATAGACTAGACTATAGACTAGACTATAGACTAGACTATAGACTAGAATATAGACTAGACTATAGACTAGACTATAGACTAGACTATAGACTAGACTATAGACTAAACTATAGACTAGACTATAGACTAGACTATAGACTAGACTATAGACTAGACATAGACTAGACTATAGACTAGACTATAGACTAGACTATAGACTAGACTATAGACTAGACTACAGACTAAACTATAGACTACTATAGACTAGACTATAGACTAGACTATAGACTATAGACTATATATAGATAGACTAGACTATAGACTAGACTATAGACTAGACTATAGACTAGACTATAGACTAGACTATAGACTAGACTATAGACTAGAGTATAGACTAGAATAGACTATAGACTAGACATATAGACTAGACTATAGACTAGACTATAGACTATACTAGACTATGACTATAGACTAGACTATAGACTAGACTATAGAGACTATAGACTATAGACTAGACTAGTCTAGACTATAGACTAGACTATAGACTAGATATAGACTAGACTATAGACTAGACTATGGACTAGACTATAGACTAGACTATAGACTAGACTATAGACTAGACTATAGACTAGACTATAAACTAAACTATAGACTAGACTATAGACTAGACTATAGACTAGAGTATAGACTAGACTATAGACTAGACTATAGACTAGACTATAGACTAGACTATAGACTAGACTATAGACTAGACTATAGACTAGACTATAGACTAGACTATAGACTAGACTATAGACTAGACTATAGACTAGACTATAGACTAGACTATAGACTAGACTATAGACTAGGCTATAGACTAGACTATAGACTAGACTATAGACTAGACTATAGACTAGACTATAGACTAGACTATAGACTAGACTATAGACTAGACTATAGACTAGACTATAGACTAGACTATAGACTAGACTAGACTATAGACTAGGCTATAGACTAGACTATAGACAAGACTATAGACTAGGCTATAGACTAGACTATAGACTAGACTATAGACTAGACTATAGACTAGACTATAGACTAGACTATAGACTAGACTATAGACTAGACTATAGACTAGACTATAGACTAGACTATAGACTAGACTATAGACTAGACTATAGACTAGACTATAGACTAGACTATAGACTAGACTATAGACTTGACTATAGACTAGACTATAGACTTGACTATAGACTTGACTATAGACTAGACTATAGACTAGACTATAGACTTGACTATAGACTAGACTATAGACTTGACTATAGACTAGACTATAGACTAGACTATAGACTTGACTATAGACTAGACTATAGACTAGACTATAGACTAGACTATAGACTAGACTATAGACTAGACTATAGACTAGACTATAGACTTGACTATAGACTAGACTATAGACTAGACTATAGACTAGACTATAGACTTGACTATAGACTAGACTATAGACTAGACTATAGACTAGACTATAGACTAGACTATAGACTAGACTATAGACTAGACTATAGACTAGACTATAGACTAGACTATAGACTAGACTATAGACTAGACTATAGACTAGACTATAGACTAGACTACTAGACTAGACTATAGACTAGACTATTGACTGGACTATAGGCCGTACTATTTAATAGACTATAGGCTAGACATAGCATCCAATGTTTTATTCCTGACTGATCACATATACTATTAACTACTATTAATATTGAGGTGTGTTACAGCAATTGATCTTTCTAGGGAAATAAAGAAAGTTCAAGTTAGTGGCGATAATGTTTTACGCAAGGGTAAGCTTAGTGAACTTTTACTTAAAAAATTTTCGTAGGAAAATTTTAAGATTTAAGATCTTTAAATAGGAAACCTAGAACTGCTTTTTAGTAGTAGGGATTTCCGTCAAGAAATATCTAAAAAGCAAAACGTCATTTTATATAAAAATGTTTAAAATATTAACAAGTACATATATATTTTCATGTGGGAGAGCTTAAACTGCTTGTTAGCAATAGATCTTTCGTTATAATAACGTTTAAGATTTTAGAGATACATATGTATTTTCATATAGGAAGAAAGCTTAAGTTAAAGGTTAGAGAGGTTTTAGTATAATCAATATTTAATAGGTAAGTTGAGATCGAACTATATGTGTTAAATTCTTGTGCTGCTGCTTACTTGGTTTCTTACTTTAAAATTTTAAAAAACTAATGTGAATTATAGCTAATTTTTCCATCCAACTATGCTTTTCTTCTTGACATAAGTATGTATGTGTCTACAATAATTCCTTTCCTTCATTTCTGGCACTAAATGCCTCTTAACACAACCATGATTGAAATACACATTAGACAGCCAAGGGGGTTGTTCACTTGTCCTCTTACAAGTATTTTTCTGTGTGTCTAATAATAAATGTAAATACATCAATTAAAGCTTACCTGCGGTAAACGACGACTTGTTTTTGGAAAATGTACTCGATTTGATGGAAACACCATGGGATGACTAATCTGTTGATTGGATGATGAGATATCAGACATATGCTTATTATTCGTACTACTGCCTGGCATACCGCCTCCTCCAACAATACCACTATAATCCTCAGGCAAATGATTGGCGCGATTGTTATTGATATTTTTCATACTAATACCACCACCACCACCACCACTACTACTACTGCTTCCGCCACCACCACCACTACCACCATTGGCAATACTGTTTGAACTCATTAAGGCTAAACGATGATGATTATGATGATGCTCGTGTACAGCCTGTGCCGCTTGTATATTATAGACTGCACTGTCATACAAGACGTGAAATGTTAAAAATAATGAAATCAACATGACGGTTAGAAAGACTACAGCTAATTTGGGACGGGAGACACCGACAACCAATATACAATCGGTATGTGAGGCATCAGGGCCAACAGGCCTCATGGCGGATTTTGGTAACCATCTGTGTAAAAGAGAAAAAAAAAAACAAAACAGAAGAAAACATTTTAGTGAGATAATTTAATTTTTATTGTGTTTTTGTTATATAATATAGAGAAATTAGAGGTGTTTAAATGTGTTATTTAATTATTCGGAATTTTTGTTTTAATTCGGTTTCAATAAACTTTTGTTCTACAAACCATAATAAGAATTTCAAATTCTTTGAATACATTTTTCAAAGCCTTTAAAATAGCTTTCTCTATAAGAAAACTGGTTAAAAATATTTTTCATATACTACTGTAAAGCTTGAATTAATAGGAAGCTTTAGAGTTTTTCATATACACAGTATAAGTTGTCATCCAGCGACAGAGCTTTTTGTTTTGGAAAGTTTGGATTGATATGCAGCAGAATGATTAACGTGTGAGAGAGATTAACTTATAAGCTTGAGCTTTATGAATGAGAGCTTTCTGTATACGAGCTGTCATCTAGCTTTATGAATGAGAGCTTTCTGTATACGAGCTGTCATCTTTTAAAATAATTCTTTAGTTTCTGACTAGCTATGAAGCTTTCTGCATAATAATTCAAGATGCAAGCTTGCAAAAAAGCTTTCCATATAAAGAAAATTATTTGTTCCTGTCCGGCGACAGATTTTTTCTATGACAAAGACAAAACAAGTTTCAGCTAGCGATAAGTAAACTTGAATTACAAGACAGTGATCATGAATACAGTTTAAGGTACTATTTTCTTCCTATAGTAGAAAGCTTTTTCTATTCAAAATTGTTTAGTGCCTATAATGTGAGAGAGCTTTCCGTGTATTAAAAACAAAGCTGCTGGCTTAAAACTTTCTATATAAGGAAGTTTAAGTTAATATTGTGCGATAGAGCTTTCAATATAAGAAACCTTGAATTGTTAGCTAAGGTTAGAGCTTTTCGTAAAAGAAAACTTGAGTTAAAAGTTTGTGATAAAACTTTACGCATAAGAATGTTTTTCTGCTTTTGGTTTACAGCTTTCTGTATTAAGTTTAAGGAGAAATCTTGCTATAGAGCTTTCATTATAAGTAGAGATAAAGCTTTTCGTATAAGAAAACTTGAGTTGCAAGTTTGTGATTAAACTTAACGCATAAAAAATGCTTTTATGCTCACAAGCTTTAATATTTGCTTTAAGCTTTCTTAAACAGCTTTCCGTATATGAAAAATTTAACATTATATAGCTTTAGAGCTTTTGCAGATTGAATTACAAGACTGTGATAGGGTTTGAGTTAGACAAAAGTTGTTTGCTGTTGTTGTACGCTTAAGCTTTCACTTATCGTCAGATCTGTTTTGCACAGCTTCAGAGCTTTCTGTATAAGAAAGCTTTTTTATATGATTTCCTCAAATTTCATTAAAATTCTTTGATTTTTTATGAAAAATCTATTAAATGAACGAATGTTTGTATGAAATTAATCGGTAATCGAATAATGTTTAAACTACTAAATACCTTAGTTGAAAAGCAACCAAAATAATGTGCTTTTATTAATTGTTATTACGAGTACTTTGGTTTTTTTCTTTTCTTCTAAAGTTATCAATGTAAATCATCAGTTTAATGTTGTATACATTTAGCACGCATATAAAGGGTTTAGCAGATAGAGGTAATTTTAAGCAATTTTCGACAATAAGTAGATTAAAATGTGTACCTTTACGTTTAACTTGAAAATAATCAGATGAGTGCGACAAACATTATATATGTGATTGTTGCAGTTTTTGGAATATAGTTGATGAATTGCAGAAATAACACCTCTTTTTTTAACCACAGTTTTCTTTTGGAAATCCTAAAGCAATGCTATCATTAAATTTTATTAAATGCTGCCACCAAAAAAAAAAAAACATTTACAATGGCTCAACACAACAATACATATGTTTTTAACACATGCCTCCCCAATGGAGTCTATAAAATTTAAAATAAACCTCAACCAAGTGCATTAGTGGTTAATGTTTTGTAATTTAGAAATTTAGTTATTGCGGTTTATAACTCCATTAAGAGAACAAAAATCGCAAAACTAAAAATGTTTTGTTACGTTTAGCAAACAATTAAATAACAAAAAAATTACTAGTTTAGGTAACAAAAATTTAGAAAATTTAACTTTCATTTAAAAAATTTTAAATTCAATATTTAAACATTGTAATATTAATCTTTTTAGCATGTTTTGTAAAACAAATTTGTTAGTTAAAATTTTTTTTCAACTTTAATACAAAAACCATCTCCGTCAAAGAAAAACCCTTTTTTATCATTTTTTTATTCTTTTGCTTTACCCTTTAACATCATGCCACATTAATTCTTGTCATACCAACAGTAAAAGGAGATGTATGTTGAAAACAAGTTGACACAACAAAAGCAAACACAATTGGTGTCACTATTACAGCGGTACGATCAAGCGGAAATACATATGTATACAAACAAACATTTTTGTAGAACCCAGCAGTTTTTAAAGTGTTCCATTTGTTTACCAGGAATGGAATATGTAAATGTTTATAAATACTTGTACAGTTCTGCGTATACTTGATATTTAATACAGTACAAAGTTAAATATTACGTATACGCATATACATATGTATGAGTAGTGTAAAAACAAAGTAGGGAACTTCTGTTTCATTGACGAACTAGTACGAACTAAAGGTACCAGGAATGGAAAATGTAAATGTCTAAAAAGTACTTGTACAGTTCTGCGTATACTTAATATTTAATGCAGTACAAAGTTAAATATTACGTATACGCATATACATATGAGTAGTGTAAAAACAAAGTAGGGAACTTCTGTTTCATTGACGAACTAGTACTAACTAAAGGTACCAGGAATGGAAGATGTAAATGTCTAAATAGTACTTGTACAGTTCTGCGTATACTTAATATTTAATACAGTGCAAAGTTAAATATTACGTATACGCATATACATAAGTATGAGTAGTGTAAAAATAAAGTAGGGAACTTCTGTTTCATTGACGAACTAGTACGAACTAAAAGCCTGCACAAGACAACAATAATGCGACAATAACCCATACTATACCTTAAATGCTAAGCAAAAGATTTGCTTTAGAACTGTCTCCTCAGAACTGCTGGGTATATATAATAGTAAGTGTTTGTGTATATGTACTCAAGCAATTTATAGCCTTTTGTATTATTTATTATTTAAACTTTTTAAAAATAAAATTTACTCTTTTAGCTTTATAAGTGGAAATTGCTTAAATAATTTTTTAATTATTATTATTGGAAAATTGATACGAATTAATAGACTACATATGACAACTTACACAGAAAAAACTGAAAAACGATTTCAATTACCAAAACCTCGTTTTCAATTATTTTATTTTTTGAAGTTCAACCTATAACAAAAATTGTATATTCAATTACTACTTATAATTGATTTCGTACACAAAATTTTTATATTTTTCTATTTTTGTTGTTGTTAAATACGTATTTGATTATACATTTTTATGAATCAAATACAAAATGAATTGAAGCCTTTTAAAATTTTTGATTAATCGTTTAATTGAAAATTTTTTAAAATTAATTTTTTCTGTGTAGCTTTTGTAAAATCAATATTTAATTGAAATATTTTGATTATTTTCTGGCAATATCTTTCTGGCAATATATAGATTCAGCGCGAAAATAACTGCTCATCTTTTGAGGCAAGAACGAGTCCAGCCATTTTATAATATCCTGCTATGAAGTGAAGAGTGCCCTAGAGAAAGAGAGGGAGTAGAGAAAATTCTAAACAAATAGTAGTCGGACTTGTCAAGGTCTCACGTCTTATAGTCCAGATGAGACAAAACTTTCCAACCACTTCTTTCAAAATAGTTTTTAACATGTATTGTGGCCGAGCGTCGTCACGATGGAATATTACGTTTTTGTGTAATTTGGTTGTTTTCTACCAATGCTCACTTTAAGCGAATCAGTTGCGTTCATTGCAGGGTTTTTGTGATATTCTGGCTAGATTTTAGCATTTGATACTTGACTTTAGTTTCTGCTAGTTGGCCGGGCTTTGGGTTGACGTCATAGATCTAGGCAGTATTGTTAGACATGCAAAATCGTTTTCTGAAGATTTTTCAAAATCTTATTAATGCTTATGCTTCCAATTATTGAGCCATACCATCTATACACTTCCTTTGTCAGGGAAACTGTCTGGCAGACGAACTTACCAGAAATGGTGCGATGTGAGGGGAAGATGAAATCGACGCATTTACTGGTATATCTCTTACTAACTGTAAGCTACTGGTTCAGACTGAACTATATGAAATGGCTCAAATCAGATGGTTGAGTGAAACCATCTGTCTCAATTCGAGGTCAATTTGGCTTCTATATGATGCTCTCAGGTCAAGCTTACTATTAAGCTTTCGCAGGGAACAGATACGAATGCTGGTATCAGTCGTAATGGGACACTGTACTATTGGCAATTACGCCAGAAGAATGGGTCTCGAATATAACGGCTACTGTAGAAGTTGTAATAATGAGAAGGAAGAGGAAACAATACCTCACCTCCTCTGCTATTGCCCATCACTAAATGAAAGCAGAGAACAATGTTTCGGCCTTGCTGCTTTATCTTGTCTGGATGAGCTATCTGGGGTGTGCCTAAAGAATATCCTAAACTTTGTGTATCAAACCGGATGGTTTAATTCTGGAAAAAGAGAGTAATAATCAAATGAACTCCTACGACCACTAGGGTAACACAACGGTACCGCAACTAGGTGGACCCATGTGAGCCACTCATGCTTGATTGAGTGGCTGCCTCTCTTACCTAAACCTAATACACCTCTTTAGTAGGGAGAGTATATTGGGTTTGTGCTGTTGTTTCTAACGCTCAATATTATTGGTCCTATACCTTCCTTAAAGTATACCAATCGGCTTCGAATCATTGTCTGATTGGATTAAGCCATTTCCGTCCTATTACCTTTCACATAAAGGTGATATCGGTCCTTTATTTCACTTAGTCACCATACAACCGGACCCCTTCAAATTGAGCTTTGGAACTGGTAATTATGTCAACAACTAAGT